ACTGCCCTGCAGGCGTGTCTCACCGCACAGACCCGGGTCATCATTACTGCCCTGCAGACGTGTCTCACCGCACAGACCTGCTTCTGGTTCTTCTTCTGCATCATCAGCTTCTCCACTGTCCTCAGCGTCGTCTTCAACTGGATTTTTGAGCCCTGACTGGCTCCACTCTGGAGCAGTATTACTATACCTAAAAGACAATAATATTTGGTAAAAGGCTCTGTCAGGGTAAAAAAAAAAAAAAAAAAGGCTATGCAAAGACCAATTTAATATTCAGGATGGTAAAGGAAAATGCAACCAAATAAGTATCTGTTACCCAGCACTCAGCTTTTTCCTGCAATCTTCTTCCTCTTCCGGTTCCACACTGGCTGCAGCCAGCTCAGCTGCCTTCCCTGCAGCCAGCTCACTAAGTCTTTGGGCCAACATTAATTTCCCAGAACGAGAAGCATACTTAATGGCTAAACTCAGAGCATTCTGAGTCATCAGATCAGCAAGTTCCACACAACGAAAATCCCGCTCCAGTTTAGAAGAAAGCTAACCCAGAAAGAAAAAGGAAAAAAATAAAATCGTGTTAAATACAAAAATAAAATTAAATTTTTTTTTATTTTTACTGAGCTCCTTAAAGAGAGATTAAGTAAAACTTTTAAACACTGATACTACTAACAAAACTAAGAAAAAAAATGTCTAGGCAGCGTATCTCCTGATGCCAAGATGCACACTTTTATACACATTAACATCTCTGAAGTTAGAACGCACTTTACTACTGGTGGATTAGTGTGGCAGCACCTTTTTTTGTCTCTGTGGCTTTAATGAATAAAATAACAGTACATTTTATAATCAGTAGTAGTACATGTAGTAGATTCAATGAAATATATAATTTTAAGTTATTGATTATAAGAAAAGCAAGAAATTCATTTAAAATTTAAATGTGATTCTCCTAAATTTGTTTTCCAGCTGTCTCTCACTCCAACATGGCAGGAAATTCAAAGAAGAAATGAATCATAAGCAAATCAGTTCTTACTTTGCTCAGAATGTGCACAAACACTAAATGAACTGGGCGGGGCAAGTAGATCTCCCCTTAATTTTGTTTTTAATTCTCTTGCATATTTTTAAAATTATTTTCTTGCCTTTTTTTGTTGTTCTTGTTGAGACAGAGTCCTACCCTATACCCTGAGCAGACTGCAATGGCGTTGTGGCTCACCATAACCTCAGACTTGGCTGTGGGCATCTCACTGCCTTGCCTCAGGAAGCCACTGGGATTACAGGTGCTCCCCGCTGTGCCCAGCTGGTTTGTGTGTGTGTGTGTGTGTTTTTATGAATCAAGGTCTCACTCTCACTCAGCCAAGTCTCGAACTCCTGAGTTCAAGCAATTCTCCCTCAGCCTCCCACAGTGCTGAGATTACAGATGTGAGCCACCACACCTGGCTATGTGTAATTGTCTATGATCTTCAGCTACTCACACAACTTCCGAATTAAATATCCTCCTTTTTATGCTCTATGATATTATATTTACAATATAAAACAAAGGGCATTCATGTAACATCTCTTAGAAAACACTATTTGCTACTGGTATGAATTCTGGCAACTCAAATCAAAGTCAGGAAAACTGACACTCTGAAGACTAGTGAGGTCTCCCGACTCACAGGGTGTGAGGACCCTTGTTACTCAGCAGTACAGGAGCTACAGACAGTAACCTCGGTGTCCTCCTCCAGACTCCTGGTAGCTCCTGTTTACCAGCAGCACTTCTCCATGAGGGTGGGCCTCTGCCGCAGGGGACATTTAGAAAAGACAGCGATGAGTGTGGCTATCAGTGACTCTAGGGAACTAAAGGCACCTGGGAAGGGGCCAGGAGGACAGAAGAGCCTGCAGGGCACGAGTAACCTACTGAGAGCACAAAGAAAAAAGCTCTGCTGAGGCAAAATGGCGAAGACATCAACATCCCTGTTTCCTGAGGGATGTTGCCCCAAGTACAAAGGCTGCTAGTTTCTGGACCACAAACACCACTTTATAAAAGGAATAAAACTTATTCTACAGTAAATTGAGTTTCCTTAATACCAAACTTGCAGATAGGTGACAGTAGCTGGCACCACCTTTTGAAGAAAGAGCTACAATTTGCTCTGTGGTCTTAGAACACAGAGGTCTTTTCCCTCAAAAGCTTTTTTCCCCATTTTATTTTATTTTAATTTTTTTTGTAGAGACAGAGTCTCACTGTGTTGCTCTATGTAGACTGGTGGCGTCACACAGCTCACAGCAACCTCCAAACCCTGGGCTTAGGCGATTCTCTTGCTTCAGCCTCCCATGTAGCCAGGACTATAGGTGCCCACCACAACACCCGGCTATTTTTTTGTTGCAGTTTGGCCGGGGCCAGGTTTGAACCCACCGCCCTCGGTATATGGGGCCGGTGCCCTACCCACTGAGCCATAGGCACCGCCCTTTTTTCCTCAATTTAAAGTGAAAAGTGTGGACCATTCACTATGTCACAATATTGAGGTCTGTGTATCAGCCATGACACCAGGGCCTGGGCTATGGATGTGAAGAGACCTCTACCCTCAAGGGCTTCCAGCTTAGTATAAGCCTAGTGCAGGAAGAAATGCTACACTCCTTTCCGTAAGCCAAGCACAAGTGAGGACACCCACACAGGAATTTTAAGATGCCCTGCCCCAAACATCAATGTACTTAAATACCCAAGGCCCCAAACCTGCCAGGAGCTACAGCTGAACTTTCACCACAGTGGCTTAACACAAGGGAGATGTAAAAGGCTGATCAGAGTTCCCAACAAGCCTAGCCCTAAATGTCTACAAACAACCCACCTACAAACTGCATACAGTAAAAGCAGGTGCCAGAGAAGTGGTTCTCAAACTGTTTTTTGAGACAATCTCATTCTGTCACCTGGGTGCCATGGCATCATCACAGCTCATAGCAACCTCAAACTCTTGGGTTCCAACGATCCTCTTGCCTCAACCTCTTGAACAGCTGAGACGATAGGCACCCACCATGACACCCATCTAATTATTCTGTTTTTAGTGTGTGGGGGTGGTTCACACTTTTTTAAGCATAAGAGTTACCTGGAGGAACTGTTAAAACATAGACTGGTGGGCACAAGAAAAAGGGAAATGGCACTGGAGATGTCTGTTTTTGTATGGATATTACAAGGTAATATCCTAAATATTTTAACTACAACATCAACCAGAAAACAGAACTTTTATGGGAGAAAAATATGATCAGATAAAACTTAAGAATTCTAGGTTGTGGGACTTAGTCCAAATTCACATACCTTCAAGAAATTCAATTATTGGCTTGGTGCCTGTGGCTCAAGCGGCTAAGGTGCCAGCCAAATACACCTGAGCTGGTGGGTTCGAATCCAGCCCGGGCCCTCCAAACAACAATGACAGCTGCAACCAAAAAAAAAAATAAAGCCGGGTATTGTGGTGGGGGCCTGTATTCCCAGCTACTTGGGAGGCGGAGGCAGGAGACCCTCTTGAGCCCAGGAGTTAGAGATTGCTGTGAGCTGTGATGCCACGGCACTCTACCCAGGGCAACAGCTTGAGGCTCTGTCTAAAAAAAAAAGAAATTCAACCTCTAGGCTCGGCACCAGTAGCTCAGTGGTTAGGACACTGGCCACATGCACTGAGACTGGCTGGTTCAAACCCTGCCAGGGCCTGCTAAACAATGACAACAATAATAAAAAAATAGCTGAGTGTTGTGGTGGGGACCTATAGTCCTAGCCACTGGGAGGCTGAAGCAAGAGAATCGCTTAAGCCCAAGAGTTTGAGGTTTCTATGAGCTCGGCACTCTACTGAGGGTGACATAGGGAGACTCTGTCTCAAAAAAAAACGAAAGAAAGAAAAAAAGATTCAACCTCTAGAAAAGCATTTCACTTTAGTTCTTTCTGTGTATTTATTTTACTCACTGCCAGCATTTTCATTAAAAGTTCCTGTTGTGCTTTTATGGCCTGATTTTTCGTGCTCTCTTCGTATTCATAGCCGTTGTCAGCAAGATAAGCAAGGTGGTGGTGGAATGTAACTGAACGCCAATACTGCTCCTGTGAAGTGCAGAAAGCTACTCAATGAATGAAACCATCACTGTGACACAGGCGAGTGTTAAACACTTGTCTCAAGATACCAGTTCTGAAATCCCCCTTCCTATAAGTTTAGTTTACAGTTCAAATCCCAGTATGCTACTACAGCTTCACTATCCTTAAAAAAAGAGTGAGTAAATGTACCATTTAACACAGTTTTCTAGGCATCATAGTTAAAGCTCAGAGAACTTGGTAAATTAGCTTTTTGGAAGCTGATCTGCTTCTTAATTAGAATAACTACTTACAGGATTCCAAATGACTTTTGATGACACAGGGGCCAAGGCTAGAGCAAAGCAAGCGAGGTGCCAAAGACACAAAATGCATGTAGGCGCCACAGCTCAGGACCTGCTGGGCCTCGGGAGGCCCTACCTGGCTACCCAGCTACCTTGTAGACAGAGTCCCGGAAGCAGTGACGGCAGCCAGGTGAGCGTGAGCAGTCCTGTTCCTTCCCTGCTACCACTACTCATTTAATCACATACCAATGAATGCTCAACACTGCTCATCACAGTAACTTTAAAACATATGTATCACAGGTAGTGTGCTATCCAATTCAGAGAGTCAAGGTAGGATTTCCACATACCTCCATCTGTCCTTTGTCTGTTGCAATCTGACAGTAAGGAAGCTTAAAGGGTAATACAGCTACAGCAGGCCGTGGAAGGGTGGGGGGAAACCGAGAGCCTTTACAAGGGATGCACCTGCCAGGAAGAGAAAGTCCCATCACAGATCTTGCTGAAATGTCACAAAATTCGCTAAAGTAAAAATGTTTCAAAAGTATTCCAATAGTTAATTATACATTCCTCTTTTTAAAAAGGTGTTTTAGGCCTCGGAAATACAAAGACTATCCTATCCCTCCATGTATTTCAAAAATCTCTTCTCACATCAGTTTCATTAAATAAAAATGGCTAAAAGTAAAATCAACTCTCTTCATATTTTCCTAGCAAACTGCCTGCTTTTAAAATATGGAAATTTCCTAGCACTCTGGGAGGCCAAGGTGGGTGGATTGCCTGAGTTCATGAGTTCAAGACCAGCCTGAGAAAGAAGAGTGAGACCCCCATCACTAAAAACAGCTGGGCATTATGGCAGGTGCCTATAATCCCAGCTACTTGGGAGGCTGAGGCAAGAGACTTGCTTGAGCCCAAGAGTTCTACCCAGGGTGACAGAATGAAACTGTCTCAAAAAAAAAATTTTTTTTGCCATATGCACGTGTAATGGGATCCATGTCACAGGGCTTGTCACCAGTCCCACAGCACCAGTCTAATACAAGATGCTGCGGAAGCATGCTCATGTTTTCTCTCTTTTTTCTCACCACGCAGGTCCAAGAGAGCATCTCCATTTTCATTCACAGTGTGGGAACTCTTGGTGCCATTGGTAGGAAATAAGAAGAAAGGACAGTGAAATGTCCAACACAGGTAAGTGTTTATTAGATATTTGTCAGAGCAGAAAACCCAATAACATTAAAGAGGGTAAAATCTATACCTGCTCTGCCAAATCAGAGGTTGCCTTATGTGGTGAAAGCTCAGTGGCAAGGAGCTAGTCTAAACCTTTCTGGCGTATGGTGTTTGAAGATGTCCATCACAAGAACTCACGACATTTATTAATTAAAGAGTATTCATTAATCACAAAATGACTTACATGCACACAGTACTCCTTCACCTTATATGCTCAAAATTATTAATTAGAAAACCATGGCTTGGCGCTCATACCTCAGTGGGTAGGGTGCCAGCCACATACACAGAGGCAAGCGGGTTTGAACCCGGCCTGGGCTGCTAAACAACAATGACAACTACAACAAAAAAATAGCTGGGTGTTGTGGCAGGCGCCTGTAATCCCAGCTACTTGGGAGGTTGAGGCAAAAGAATCGCTTAAGCCCAAGAGTTTGAGGTTACTGTGAGCTGTGACGGAGGGCCACGGTAAAAGGATTGCTTAAGGCCAGGAGTTTGAAACCAGACTGTGGAACACAGCAAGACCCCCATTAATGGGGATCTGGATTGTATACCTTCATCCCCCCCATGAGTATTTCCTCAGTACTCCCCCACCCTCTATAAACACCAATCTACAAGGTGTCCCCAAAGTCACCATACATAGGGAAAATGGGAAATTGTAGCTAAATGTACCTTATTTACAAAATGTTCATTGCAGAACTTTACAAAGAGCTGGCCAACAGGTAGAGAATATTTTGTAAAAGGTTTTTGTCTCTATAGATAGCCTATTCTGGACATTTCAAATGAATGAAATCATAAAGTATGAGACCTTTGCATCTGTACTCTTTCAAACCTGGTGTAAAGTTTTCAGAGTCCGTCCATGTGGCAGCACGTATCAGTATTTCTCAGAGTCCGTCCGTGTGGCTGCACGTATCAGTACTTCTCAGAGCCGTCCGTGTGGCTGCACGTATCAGTATTTCTCAGAGTCCGTCCGTGTGGTAGCATGTATCAGTATGTCATTCCTTTTTATAGACCAGTCATATTCCACTGTATAGGCTTACTAACCCATTTACCAGGTGACATTTACAGTGTTTCTACTTTTTTAGGTATTATGAATAAATCTACTCTGAACATTCAAGTGCAAGTTTTTATGTGAATACTTTTCTACTTTTCTTTTTTTTTTTTGGTTTCAGTTGTCTAGCTGGCCCAGGCCAGATTCAAATCCGCCATCCCAGGTGTATGTGGCTGGCACCATAACTTCTGTGTTACGGGCACCAAGCTTGATTATGTTTTTTTTTTTATTTTTTCAGACAGAGTCTACTCCAGCGGTTCTCAACCTGTGGGTCACGACCCTTTTGGACTGTATTAAAGTTCGAGGCATTAGGAAGGTTGAGAACCATTGGTCTACTCTGTTGCCCCAGGCTAGAGCACCAGGGTGTCATCATAGCTCACTGCAGCCTTAAACTCTTGGGCTCAAGCAATCCTCTTCCCTCATGAATACATTTCTTATTCTCTTGATTAAGTACCTAGGAACAGAACAGTGTTATATAATAACTGGATTTAATTTTTCTTTCTTTTTTTTTTTGAGACAAAGTCTCACTCTGTCACCCAGGCTAGAGTGCCTCAGCCTGGCTCAACAGCAACCTCAGACTCCTGAGCTCAAGTGATGTTCTTGCCACAGCCTCCCAAAGTAGCTGGGACTATAGGCACCTGCCACAATATTTAATTTTAAGATGTAGGGTCTCAAAAAAGAGAAACAGGGTCTCACTCTGTCACCTAGGCTAGAGCGCATTGGCACAATCGCAGCTCACTCACTGCAGCCTCAAACTCCCAAGTGATCCTCTCACCACAGCCTCCCAAGCAGCTAGGACTACAGGCACCCACCACTAGCCTGCTAATTTTTTTTTGGAGACAGATTCTCACTATATTGCCCTAGGTAGAGTGCCGTGGCGTCACAGCTCAGCAACCTCCAACTCTTGGGCTTAAGCCATTCTCTTGCCTCAGCCTCCCAAGTAGCTGAGACCACAGGTGCCCACCACAACGCCCCGCTATTTTTTGGTTGCAGCCGTCATTGTTGTTTTGGTGGGCCCGGGCTGGATTTGAACCCACCACCTTAGGTGTATGTGGCTGGAGCCTTAGCCAGTTGAGCCACAGGCGCCAAGCCTACTTTACATTTTTATAGATATATACTAGTGCATAAATGTACAGAATATATTTAGAAATGTATGCTTCTAATCTTTTGTTAATATTCATGATCCTGGGACTGGGCACAGTGGCTCACACCTGTAATCCTAACCTCTGGGAGATCGAGGTAGGTGGATTGCTTGAGTTCATGAGTTTGAGACCAGCCTGAGCAAAAAGCAAGATCAAGGTGAGAGAATCACTTGAGTCCAAGAGATGGACGCTGCTGTGTGTGAGCTATGATGCCACAGTACTCACTCAAGGTAATAGCTTGAGATTCTGATCTCAAAAAAAAAAATTAATAATCCCACATGTCGGATCCCTTTAACATGTCATTCCTTGGGTGCGTAAGCAGTAGTACTTTCCAAACTTCAGTGTGTACATGAATCACGGGGGACCCCTTTAAAAAGGAAGCTTCTGACTCGGTAGGGCCAACATGATGCCTGAGACTCGACATGTCTAACAAGCTCGCTGCTGATGCTGATTCTAGGGTCCATGGATCATACTTTAAATAGTACACAGTCGTAGGCATGTAGGACAATTCTAAAAGCAGAAACCGTAAGTCAAAGGGCAGAAGCATCTCCAGCTCAGGCAGCCTTGACCATCGCCCTCTGCAGGGAGTACACCACTTCAAACCCCCCCAGCAACGCGTGAGCATGATTGTTCCCTGAACATCTCTCCGACCAAGTATCAGCAAACATTCATGGTTTTCTCACCTGACGGTTAAAAAAAAATTCTTTGGAGTTTTGATTTGTATTTCCCTTGAGTGATACTGATCATCTTTTCACATCCCTGACAGCCATTTGGATCTGTTTTTCTTGAAATTATTTCTAGTTACAGTTTCTGTGATATGACTCCCTTCAAGTTATTTTTCCTCTTATTGCCTAGCTTATCTTTCTTTTTCTAATCCAAAAACTCCTACTCCAATATCTGATCTCTAAATGTTGGCATTTCTTAGGGTTGGTTTTTTTGTTTGTTTCTTTTTCTGAGGCAGAGTCTCACTATGTTGCCGTTGGTAGAGTGCCATGGCGTCACAGCTCACAGCAACCTCAAACTCCTAGGCTTGAGTGATTCTCTGGCCACAGCTCCCAAGTAGCTGGGACTACAGGGGCCCACCACAACACCTGGATTTTTACAGATGGGGTCTCGCTCTTGCTCAGGCAGGTCTCATACTCCTGAGCTGAATCAATCCGCCCATCTCAGCCTCCCAGAGTGCTAGTATTACAAGTGTGAGCCACCATGCCCAGCCCTTCTATGGCTGGGTTTTGACACATTTTTTTCTACTCTTTCATTTATTTTATGACCTCAAATATCTTCTATATTCTGGTGACTCCAGCCAACATTTCCTTCTGAATTCAAGTTTTAAATTGAATACCTCCAGCCAACATTTTCCTTCTGAATTCAAATTTTATATGTATTAGTATCTTTTTGATATCTTTATCTGGATGTTTCAGAGGCATTTCAAACCTTAACACCTAGGAGGAATTCCTTTCTACCCTCCTTATTTCTATAAAAGGTAGGACTATCCACCCAACTGCTCAAACTAGAAACGTGGCATCCTTTGACTCCTCCACCTCACTCCCAGTCCCCAGTCTGCCAGCAAGTCCCTATTCCTGTCTTGAATCTGCCTCTCCTCATTTCTACTGCCCCAAGGGCAGTTAAGCCATAGTCACAGTTGTGCTTCCAGATCATAAAATCCTGTGTTTCTTAAAAGCAGAGACAGCATTTGAAGGAGCATCCTGAACAGCTCTAGCACTGGCTTGCTAAATGCCAGGGTGACCCCTGGTCACTGTAAAGCAAAAACAATACCCCACAGTTCCAAATGACTCCTGAGGAATGGATAATCCCCTTGTTGAAAACTGGTTTCCCCATCCCCAATCTTAACCTTTCTAATCCATTTACTACACATATATTTTTCTCTTTATATCATAAATCATATTACATCATTTTCCTGCACAAAACCCTTAAACGGCTTCTTGATAGATTTCAAATAAAATCCAAACTTCTCTGCCAGGGCCTGCAATGCACCCTGTGTCTGCCTGGTGTGGTCTTGGACTCACACTCCCTCCACCCCTGCTCCTTGTCCTCTAGCTGTGTCTACACCCTCAGTCACTCAGACACACCTGGCTCTTCCTGACCTCAGGGTCTCTGTACACACTGCTCACTCTGCAAGGACTGTTTCTCCCTCCACTCTTCCACATCCGAGTCCTTGGCCTCAGTGCTCATTTTATTTATTTATTTATTTATTTGATTTTAGAGACCATTATTTTGTGTCATTGCCTGGGCTACAGTGGCATGATCATAGTTCAATGTAACCTCAATTCCTGAGTTCAAGCAATCCTCCCACCTAAGCTGCTTGAGTGGCTAGAACTATAGACACACACAGCTAATTTTTAAATTTTTTGTAGAGACAAAGTCTTAGTATATTGCCCGTGCTGCTCTCAAACTCCTGGCCTTAAGTGATCCTCCCACCTTGGCCTCCCAAAAGGTTCGGATTATAGGTGTGAACCACTATATTCAGTCAGGCTTCCTCTATTATGCTACACCATCAAAAGTCTTCCATGATCATCCTACCTAGAACATGCTCTTCTGTTTTCTCCAATATGAGTCTAGTCAGATTAATTAGCTGAATTTATCTCAAGTAGTAATGGATACCTTACTTGTCTATGTTATGTCTCTCTCCAGACTATAAACTCTGGGAAAGCAGAGGCCTCTTGGTTCACCAAGTACCTGCACAATGTCACTGATGATCTATTTTTTGTTTTTAATGCATCTTTTCTGGAAGATGATGGAAATAGTCTATTTATCTATCTAGAAATAGCATTACACTATGTTGCCCAGGCTGGTCGTGAACTCCTGGGCTTAGGTGACTGTCCCACTCCACCTCCCGAGCAGCTAGATCACCTGCATAATCTTTTGGAACAAGAAGTTATCAGGTATCAAAAGAGGAACATTTTCAATACACTACTGAGTTGATACTCTCTGAACTGAGAATCCTACACTTGTAGTCAACTATTAAACTTCTATTAGCCCCTATTATAATAATTAAGAAAAAATACCAAAAATCAGGCAATTATATATATTCAATTCTAAGTCATGGTTAAAAAAAACTATAACAAAAAGTAAAACAGCTGGGTGCCTATAACTCAGCACAGCTCAGTGGTTAGGGCGGCAGCCACATGCATCAAGGCAAGTGGGTTGGAATCCAGCTGGGGCTTGCTAAACAACCATGACAGCTGCAACAAAAAAATAGCCGGGCATTGTGGCAGGCACCTGTAGTCCAGCTACTTGGGAGGACGAAGCAAGAGAAGTGCTTAAGGCAAGAGTCTGAGGTTGCTGTGAGGTATGATACCACAGCACTCTACTGAGGGCAACACAGTGAGACTCTGTCTCAAAGAAAAAAAAAAAGGTAAAATGCCATGCTTACCCAAAACTCCCCTCCATGTTTGGCTGAAATGACACTGCAGTCACCCTAATAAACTTAATTTCTATTTTGTTCATTAAGTTTTAAATAATTGGTTAAAAGCTTTAAGATGAATATAAACAATTTCCTAATAGTGATTATGGAAAGAAAGTAAATTGACTAAGATGAAGAACAAATATACTTAACGGGTCTCATACAAAGAATTTCAAAGTACTTTTACAAACAGAGTCAGCTTCACACAGCCTGACGCAGCCCACCTTAGTTGCTGGGGATTTTCATGGATGCCAACCACCCAGTAGTGGTCAGAGTTTGCTTTGCAGTGCTCTCTCGTGTTGCATATGGGAGTCCAGGTGTCCCCAAGCCCTCTATTAAGCATTCGGACAATGCCTTCTGAATCCACATAACAGGGGGTTCCTGTCAATCAGCAGAAAGAGAAATCATTTGGAGACATAGCTACGTATTTGTTAAGCCCTATTTCAAAAATACATACCAAGGATTCAACTTCCACTTCAAAAGCAAAAATCAAAATGAAAGGCAAATTATCTAAGATTATTTCCTATAAACTTTCACTAACCATATCAAGTAAGGCCTAACTGAAAAAAGAAAAAAAAATCGTATGTCATATGACTAAAATTTACCCAAATTAAAAGAACTGATAGTTTCAGTGGAAACTATGCCCCTTGCTAGAGTGTAACAGTAATAATTTTTTTTATTTCTTTTGAGACAGAGTCCACTCTGTTGCCCTGGGTTCAGTGCCATCATATCATCACAGCTCACAGCAACCTCAAACACCTGGGCTTAAGTGATCCTCCTGCCTCAGCCTCCCTGGCAGCTGGGACTATAGGCACCTGCCATGACGCCCAGCTAGTTTTTCTATTTTCAATAGAGATGGGTCTCATTCTTGCTCAGGCTGGTCTCGAATTCCTGAAATCAAGGGATCCATCTGTCCTGGCCTCCCAGAGTGCTAGGATTACAGGCCTGAGGCACTGCACCTGTCCTACATTAATAATTTTTAAACCAATTTCAACAACAAAAAAAAGTTAAACCTGAATGTGAAGGCTCTTTGTTGCAAGAGACTTAGAAAAATGACCAAAATCTGATACAGAGTGATGGTGTAAAGAAATTTATCTTTCATACTCTTCTTCCTCCCTCTTCTTCTTTGGCTTTTTCACAGTTCTATCCCCAACTCCTAGGCAAGCAGTTCTTACCTAGGAAAATAGGCATTCCTGTTTTCCACCCACTCTGCTTTCAACTCAGCAAGTGCACACAGATTACTGAACTATCTCATTTGTCATCTGTGGCTTCAGATCCCTCTTGCTCTGCAAATATCATTTGCTCTGAGTCCAGATCTGATTGGTACTTGGGGCAAAAAAAAAAACTATACAAATGTTGGCTATTAATGGTCATATTATTAAAGCATGAATGACTAATAATATCCCAACAGAAAACACATCCATTAATGACTGATGTTATATAGTGAGTTTCCAGTAATTTAAATGAAGAACACAAATCCCCAATGAGAGAAATATTTAGGCCCTCTTGAGATGGAGTTAACAGTTGATTTAAAATAAGGTACTCTTCAGTGTCCTCAAATCATCTGTCCTGAACCACTACAACTGAGTCCACAACAGTCCCACAGAACAAAAATATCACAGGAGCCACAACTGTAACTTTTAATTCCCTAGTGCCACATGTAAAAAAAAGTGTGAAGTTAATTTTAATGATTTATTTAATATAGCCAAAAATATTATCACTTAACATGTAATATAAAAGAACTGAGATTTGGGCTGCGCCTGTGGCTCAAAGGAGTCGGGCACTGGCCCCATATACCGGAGGTGGCAGGTTCAAACCCGGCCCCAGCCAAAAACTGCAAAAAAAAAAAAAAAAAAAAAGAATTGAGATTTTTGTATTTTTTTACATACTAACTCTTCAAAACATCAGACAGTATTTTATAGTTACAGAACATCCCAATTCAGATTAGCAGTATTTCAAGTGCTCAAAGCCACATGTGGTTAGCAGCTACTGAAGTTAACAGTAACATTCTAGAAACTTCCTAATTTTTGTGTACAATCTGCTGGAAAAGATACCACTTTACCACTGATTTCCTCCTTGCTGTCTGATAAACTTTCAGAGAAATGTACTTCCTGGTTAGTCTCCAAAATTGTAAGAAAACAATTTTTTTTAATTCAAAAAAAGAAAAGAGAAAGGGAAATCTATTTCCCCTGTGTATTTTCTACTCAGAATTCTCATGGCGAGAGATGTGGTGCCTGAGACAGCGACTACCTTGCCTATCAACTGCAGCTTCCAGTTCTGTCCACATAATAGAGTGATCTAAAATACAATTTATCTTTAAGTTAATTAGGAATGAAATTTTTTTCTTGAAAATATTTTTTAATTTAAAGAAACAAATTAAAAAAACAAAAGAAAGAAACAAATTTATCTTGCCTTCAGCTGAAAAGCCAACCCAAGCAAGATAGGATCGCCTTGTGAGCGGAAGAGGGTCACCGTGCAGAACTTGTCTTTTTTTCCTCCCCAGCTCTAGCAGTTGAACTCCAAGGCACTGATCCCCATCAAATCCTGTACCTATTGAGAAAATGTAAAGAGATCAAGCATCAAAGGTTATTGAGCTATAATGCAGTCTACATTATTTTCTGTCAGTTGATTTTGATTTTGTGGTAAATTCTTAGATTACTCTACCTTCCTGAGGCATTACAGTTAGGTAGAGATGTTATTACATCTACTACTGAGGCATTACAGAGTAATACAATACATGGACCACTTCCATAAACGGATTACAGGTGGTCGTTCATTCACTCAGGAAATATTTACAGAGAGCTTACTACGTGCCACGCACTGGCCCAAAGTCACTGCTGTCATGAAATTCAAAGTAGAAGACAGACAAATTTAAAAACTTAAGAACAAAAATGCTATCAAAGAATTTTTATAATAATGTGATATAGAGTATGAGGCTAAGTATTTATTTTAGACTGGACAGTCAGAGGTAGCCTCTGAGAAAGTAAAACTTAAGCTGAAAGAAGAATTTCTAAGTTGGAGCCTGCCATGCAAACATCACAGGAAGGAACATTATACCTGGTGGAGGGAACACCTAACAGAAAGTCCCAAGATAGAAGAACAAGCTTGGCAAGTTCAAAGAACACAGAGGCCAGTATAGCCAGAACACGGTAACAAGAAAAAAAGGGAGAGAGAGGAGGTCAGACGCAGGCAAAGGTCAGATCAGTAGGTCACCTTGCCAGCTACAATAAGAAGTTGGATTTTGATTCTAGAAGTGAAGGCAAGTCAGAGATTTGAGCAGAAGAGGGACGTGGTCTATTCAGAACACATAGGGCGCAGCACCCAGGATGTGGAAGGCAAGAACTCAAGCTGAAAGACTAGTTAGGTGAGTACCACACCAGCCCCGGAGATGACATCCGGATTGCCCCAGAGTGCCAGTGGAAGGAACAGAAAGAGACAGAAGTGGAATGCAGTCCCACAGACGTGGCATGTGCTGTTGGAGTGGATGTGGAGGGTGCGGGAAAGAGAGAAAATGAGGACAACCTCTAGGCTTTGGGCTGAGCCCTGGACTGCTAGTGTGCTACTTACTGAGCTGAGGAAACTACACCAAAAACAAGTTCAGAAGGAAAAACAAATCAAAGGTGTTTATTGTGAATGAGTTAAGTTGAAGATGTCTGTCAAAACTCAAGAGATTTTAACTGGGCAATTGGATAGATAAGTCTAAGACACAAGGAGAGGGCAGGGCTGGTGACACCAACCTGGAACTCACAGAGGCAGAGGGGTATTCAAAGCCCTGGGTCTGGATAAAGTCCCCAGGATAGTTTCTCAGACTGCATCTTTTTTTCTCTGAGACAGAGTCGCACTATATTGCCCTTGGTACAGCATCATGGCATCACAGATCACAGCAACCTCAAACTCTTGGGCTCAAGCGATTCTCTTGCCTTAGCCTTCCAAGTATTCCGAGTAGCTGGGACTATAAGTGCCCACCACATAGCCCGGCTATTTTTTTTTTTTTTTTGCAGTCATCATTGTTGTTTAGCAGGCCCAGGCTGGGCTGGAACCTGCCACCTTTGGTGTATGTGGCCAGCGCCCTACTCACTAAGCTACAGGCGCCAAGCCTCAGACTGCATTTTTTGACCTCTAAGTCATAAAATCAGTTTACAGTTACAACCAGCATTAGAAAAAATGATATCTAAGCCTAAGTGTGGTCATGAGAATTTTATTTCAATGACCTTTGTAGGCTGTGCAGAGCAGCAATGTAGAGTCCAATTTGACCATGGCTAGGCAGTCAGAGGACTGAGAGCCCCTGACTGTCCACAGAGCTAGACAGAGAAGGAGCAAAGTCGGCTGAGGAGGAGGAGCTGCTGAGGGACACTCTGGGAGTGGCAGCAAAGAAGCCAAGAAAAGAAAGTATTTCCAATTGAACTGTATGTTTAAAAACCTGTAAGAGATCATCAGTAACCTTGATAAGACCAGTCTTGGAATAGTGGTGGGGACTAAAGCAAGCCTTTTTTTTTTTTTGAGACAGAGTCTCACTATGTCACCTGGGTAGAGTGCCGTTGCATCACAGCTCACAGCAACCTCAAACTCCAGGGCTCAAGAGATTCTCCCACCTCAGCCTCCCAAGTAGCTGGGACTACAGGCACCCACCACAATGCCTGGCCATTTTTTGTTGCAGTTGTCATTGTTGGTTAGATGGCCCGGGCCAGGTTTGAAACCACCACCTTTGGTGTATGTGGCTGGCGCTGTAACTACTGTGCTACAGGCGCAGAGCCCTGAAGAAGACTTGAGGTAAGTGGTGCATGTGGCTCAAGGAGTAGGGCGCTGGCCTCATATACTGGAGGTGGTGGGTTCAAACCCAGCCTCGGCCAAAAACTGCAAAAAAAAGAAAGACAGACTTGAGGTGATGAAAAGGAAGCAGAAAAAAGTTCTGTTCAAAACTGTTTTAGTCTTTTACACTCATAGTTAGTTTACTTTGAGGTATTTAAATTCTGAACGTTCTCTAGCTATGCTTGCTAGAAGATAAGATTTAAACATACAAGTAACGAACTCTACCTCGGAATTCTCTCTATAACACAGTTCTTCTATAAATAAAGCATTTTCATCTTCATTGCTATTGTGAATACAACAAAATTCTCTACAAAGATTACACTGCCTCAAATGTACAAATGCAAAAGGAGGTATATAATCCAAACCAAAACGAGGAACTGTAATACAACAACAAAAAGCTCAAGTAATTTCCATTTTACTCCATGGTAAAATCACAAAAGACTCGAAAAAAAATCTACCTCTGTGATAAACAACAAAAAGCTGTTCTCCGTGTCCTGCCATCGACACCACAGGCCCGGGGAGACTGAAGACCTCCTTCTGAACACCCCCGATGGTGAAGAGCCGCAGCAGCAAGGCGCTGGTGGCAGCGGCAGCCCATCCCTGACCCAGACACACGGCCTCGACGTCCTCCTTCTGAGGCATATCTATGAGCCACTCTTTGCTTGAGTCCCAAGAACTGAAGTGCAGGCAGTGAAGCTTGCTAAAAGTCAAAACAAGAGAGAAGCACGATCAAACTTCCATATGGAATGTGTACACACACGTACAACTGTTTGTGACACCCAACAACAAAACCAAATAGTTTTTTCCATTATATATTACTACTATAAGAAATTACTTTAAGAAAGTAACAATGAACTATCCTTAAATTACATTAAAAACATTCAAAAGCATGTTTTTTAAGATTAAAAACATAGGAAAATGCTTACAACATAACATTGAATAAAAAAATAGCAGGCTAAAAACTGTCCCTGTGATTTTATATTGTAAATGTACATAAAATCAAAACCAAGTTTCAAAAAAGGAAGTATCAAAACATTAAGCAACAGTTCTTTCACTGCAAAAAAAAAAAAAGTTAACATGGAAAAATAAGAAAAAAAAATCCCACATAACACCCTCAGTGAGATTATTAACCACTGCTGAGAAGTTGAGATGCTTCTTGTCTTTTATCTTTGCATGTGTATACACACATTTAATTTAACATTCAACACAAATTCTTTAAGCTTCAGAATGTAGATACTGTATTTGGAAGGCAATAATGACTCTCTGAACAGTAATTTTAATATTCAATTTTAAAATGAAAAAATAGCATTGTAGATGCCTGTGAAATCACATATTCAAGGAAAACAGGATTATCTAAAATCAAAACTGCATGTAGTAATAATGTTCTTGTGTATCTGAGTTAGAGACACTGAGTCAACAATGATATTTTACAAAACTGTTTTAATTCAGTAATGAAGTACTAAGTTAATTTTATGATGTGTAAATTAGGAGACCAATTAAAAAGTTAGTAATATATTTATCAAATTTTAATATGTACTCAGTTACATGAGGATCTTGTTAAAATTGCAGATTCTGACACAGAGGTCTGGGGTGGAGTCTGAGATTCTGCATCTTCACCAAGTTCCCAGGTGACCCATGCCCTGGTTTATAAACAAATATATCCATTCACAAGATTTTCATGTCTCCCAGGTGACAGGTGATTTACCTGGGAGACAGTAAAATCCATCAAATGTATAGGCACTGTATCAGCTGAAAAAAAGAGATCACGAGAAATGAACTCAGACAAATATTTTTTCTTAAAAAAAATGCAGTCTGCACGCTTTGCTTTTCCATCATAGTTTTTTCTCTGCAGCCACCTACCCACCTACCTACCAAAAACGTATAGTCCAAAATATACTCAATAAAAAAAGCAAGTTGATGGGCACCCAGCAGTTAGGGTGCTGGCCACCTGCTCTGGGGCTGCTGGGTTCAAACCCGGCCCGGGCCTGCTAAACAAACAACAAGAAAAAAAAAACAAACAGCCAGGCATTGTAGTGGGCACCTATAGTCCCAGCTACTTGGGAGGCCGAGGCAGGAAAATCACTTGAGCCTAACAGTTGGAGGTTGCTGTGAGCTACAACACCATGGCACTCTACCAAGAGTGACAAAGACGGACTGTCTCAATTTAAAAAAAATAAAAAGCAAGTTGACAAATCGTACAATCTTTAATTTTTCTTTTTTCAAAGAGAAGTTTCAAATCTAATCTATAGTGACAAAAAAATAGATCAATAGTTGGTTGGCCAAGGTTAGGACTGAATTAACTGCAAAACATTTTTGGGTGATAAAAAGTATTCTGCATTTTGAATGCAAAGTGGTTAACTGAGTACACGTTTCTCAACTCATCAAACTATATACCTAAAATGGGTGCATTTTATTATATATAATTATATTCTCAATAAAGTAAATTGAAACAAGGGGGGTTCATACGGAAAGAAATCTAGAAGGATACATATCAAACCATTACCAGCAGCTATACCCGAGCAGAATTCTAGGGGAACTTCCATTTTCTAAAACTTCTGTACCACTTAAAAAATGTAATGAATATGCAATACTCTTATAATAACAAAACACTAAAGATATGAAAAATAATTCTACTTCCCTTGCATTACAAATTTTATTATTTTGATACATACTTAGAGAATGCAATGAGGAAAAGATTAGACAAAAACAGACACATTTTCGGAAGTACTGTGGGTATATGGTGTTTGTACCAAACTCTTCTTTCTAAAATTTCATGCAACAAAAGATATATATTTGTTTTATTAATTTCTGTCTTTAACAGCGCCAAGTTCTTCCTAGTGATTTTGAATTTACCTTGCTAGCTCATCAGTGCTTTCACATGCCAACAAAAGAGCTTCAGGGGAAAGGTCTGCTATGCTGTAGTTCAGAGTGTTGGACAAGTGCGTGGCGTGGTGCATGGAAGAGTCGTGGAACTCCACATCTATGGCACTGTCCTGCTCATCGTTATAGCAGCGAATAATTCCAACAGAGTTCCACACCTACAAACATGTAAGGTTATGTGAAGTCTGAGAAAAAGTGAGGCTCCTAGAACAAGTAGGTGATAGTGGCACAAATTAACAAATCTTACAATTCAGTCTGTATCAAGATGTAAGTTATGGCTCTGCACCCGTAGCACAGTGGTTATGGCACCAGCCACATACACCAAGGCTGGCAGGTTTGAATCCAGCCACTGCCAGCTAAAACAACAATGACAACTGCAACAAAAAAATAGCTGGGCATTGTGTTGGATGCCTGTAGTCCCATTTGAGACAAGAGGATCTCTTGAGCCCAAGAGTTGGAGGTTGCTATGAGCTGTGATGCCATGGCACTCTACCAAGGGCAAAATAGTGAGACTCTGTCTCAAAAAAAAAAAAAAAAGATTTAGGGGAACAACCACATGTCACCCAATTCTAAAGAGTTTCAGATACATCTAGTCTTATTTATTTACAAATGGAATACTGATAACTTAAGAACAGATTTTATGACTGTTATTAAAAAAAAGCAGTTTAAGGCTCAGCACCTGTGGCTCAAGTGGCTAAGGCACCAGCCACATACACCTAAGGTGGTGGGTTTGAATTCAGCCCGGGCCCGCCAAAACAACAATGACAGCTGCAACCAAAAAATAGCCAGGTGTTGTGGCAGGCGCCTGTGGTCCCAGCTACTTGGGAGGCGGAGGCAGGAGAGTCACTTGAGCCCAGGAGTTGGAGGTTGCTATGAACTGTGAATCCACAGCTCTCTACGCAGGGGGACAGCTTGAGGCTCTGTCTCAAAAAAAAAAAAGCAGTTTACAACTGGCCTTTGAACAACAAAACCATTAAATTCGTCAAAAGCAACATTTCAAAACTTCTCTTACAAATAAGGATGCAAACAACAGATATTTTTTCTGTTCTGTCATAGGATAAACATGAGGGAAGATAATTAAGTTTGCTGCCTCCTCCTAGAGAAAGTGCTACATCCCTCACTGAGTATCACTACAGTCACCTTCACCGTCCTCCCCCGAGAAGCTGTGCACCAACACCAGTGCCTAGTCCATCCTTCAAAGCAATTTTAGAACTCATCCTGGAATGGCCGTCAGAGCTGTCATTGTACAAGGTCTGACAATTAAGTTCAAGAATTCGTCCTAAAAAAAGTGCTCCATATTGGGCGGCGCCTGTGGCTCAAGGAGTAGGGCACCAGCCCCATATGCTGGAGGTGGTGGGTTCTAACCCAGCCCCAGCCAAAAAACAAAAAAAGAAGCGCTCCATACCTCACTGCTGAATATCACTATGGCCAGGGGGAGGACATCCTAGGTGACCTTAGTGATATTCAGCAGTGAGGTATGTGGCACTTTTTCTAGGACAAGTTCATGAACTTAATTGCCTGACCTTGTTTATAATTTCAAAGTAACATAATTGATACCATTTGCAAAACTTGTTTTCTGCCTATGTACACCATAGGCTCACACTAGGCCCCAGTAAAATTAATGCCAACATTTTATTTATACTTATAACCATATATAACTATAAATGAAATACTGATACTAATAAAAACTAAGATCTATCGCATAATGATGATTACTGATCTTGGTGAGGAATTTTATTAATACTAAATATCAACCTTAGTGTTTACATAAAAATTTGTGCCAGGCCTACACAACAGGCAAAATGCTCAAGAAAATTTTTTGAGAGTGGAAAACCTCAAATAGCCAACAAATGGAAATACTAAACTGCTAAAGGTAAAACTTAAAGCAAAAAGCAAATATACTCATTTATTTATCATATAATCATTATTAAATTATGCATATATTTAATGCCTACTATGTACATCAGTAAGCAAAACAGAGACATTTCTATCATCATAGTAGACCTGACATTCCAGTGAGGTGTGGTGAGGGAAAGACCTTCTAACATACGAAACTAGTAGTTGTCTTCTCAAACAACACCTTCTAACTAGTGTTTAGAATCAGTATAATCTTCTATAAAACAGCAAATATGAGAAATAAGTTTTGGAAGTATGGCCAAGAGGTATAAGTATGATAAGATATATAGAAATCCTTATGTAAAATATTATAAATCATTTTACACAGAATTTTATCTAACATAATTTCAACTGTAATGCTGAAAAGATTAAAACTGAATTAACCATAAAATAAAGCAACCAAAAAATATAATCAACCAATAGTGCTCCTGGCCATTTTATTAAGATTTTTAAAAATACATTTTATCCAACAAAATCAACTACAGTGAGAAAAAAAATGTTGATATACTTAGAGGTTGAGTGTGGAACTAAGAATTACCATGAATCTGTGAGTGAGATGCAAGGGTGTAGAACCTGGTTGGAAGGGCTTCTGCCGGGGAGTCGGCAAGGGTCCTTCATAGAGTGGCCTCTGAGATGTCACCAGATTGTGAATGCTGCCTTCTTGATCATCTTCCTCCTCTTCTTTGAGAAGACTAGAAGCAGTTTTTAGCATTGTAACATCTACAATATAACAGATTATAATTAAGAGAATCATAACTACCAATGACCTAGAAAAACAAAAAGCCTTACAGGGCTGGTGCAGTGGCTCATGCCTGTAATCCTAACACTCTGGGAGGCTGAGGCAGCAGGACTGCTTGAGGTTGAGGTCAGAGGTTTGAGGTCAACCTGATCAATAGCAAGACCTTGTATCTACTAAAAATAGAAAAATCAGCCAAGTGTGATGGTGCGTGCCTATAGTCCAAGCTACTTGGGAGGCTGAGGTAGGAGGATCACTTGAGCCCAGAAGTTTGAGTGTGGCACTCTAGCCTGGGCAACAGAGGAAGACTCTGTCTCAACTAAAAAAAAAAAAAAAGAGAGAGAGAGAGAGACAAAGAAAGAAAAAAGTGCTGGGTGCGGTGGCTCACACCTAAAATCCTAGCACTCTGGGAGGCCAAGGCTGGTGGACTCCTTGAGCTCATGAGTCCAAGATCAGCCTGAACAAGAGCGAGACCCCATCTTGGGGAGAAAAAAAAATAGCTAGGCTTTGTGGCAGGCACCTGTAGTCTCAACAACTCAGGAGGCTGAGGCAAGTGAATCCCTTGAGCCTAAGAGTTTGAGGTTGCTATAACCTTTGATGCCACAGCACTCTATCCAGGGTGATAAAGTAAAACTCTGTCTCAAAAAAAGAAAAAGAAGAGAGAAAGAAAAAGCATTCTGGAATCTAGTAATTTTCCATTCATATTTAATGACACCAACATGCTACCTGCCTCTTCCACTGTGTTATAGAGATGCAGTGTTGGTACAAAAGCGATGATGAGTAAACCCCTGGAACCTTAGCGTGAATTAAGGCAGTGGCACCAAACGGAATCAGCAGGCACTGCACTGTTAGCCACTACTCACTTGCTGTAAAAATATCAACTTTATTAAATCTTGATCCTTGTACAGATTTTTTAAAGAAGCTTTCTGTCCTAAAATGGGAAGTCTGTGTAAAACAGAATGATGGATGTCTTGGAAAAAAGTAACCATTTTTGTGTAATTGTTTTAGCAGTAAGCTGAACTAAGTGATTTTTTCACAGAACACTCCTTAAAAAAAAATCCAAAAAACAAACAAACTCTATGCTAATGTCAACTTGTTTGGCAAAACACTTTCTGGGAAACCAATCAAGTGAACCCGTCATTTAAAAAAAACTGACAATCTGTTGCCAATGATAAAATTTGAGCTTTCAAACAAAAGTCAGAATATTGGAAAATTTCTATTTGCCACTGTAAGCTTGACAACTATACAATATTTACAAATTTCTGACGAGACTGGTGATGATACTGACAAATATAATTTATGTTGGATAATGAGATGTGTCAATATTAGATGAGTGAGCCAATATTCTCCAAAAGTAATACAGACACTGTAAGATTAAACACAGTAAGAAAGTCCATTGAAAGTTCAAGTCTGACCAATGGATTCTGATGTAGAAGGACTGAAGTTTCAATGGCATTTTCAGATTCCACTTTACAAGTAATCTTTAACAAACCACCATCTGCTGAGTTTTAGTACAGTATCAAAGAATATCTGCAAATATCTGAACAGGTTATTAAAAATACTTCTCCTTTTCAAATTACATGTTTGTGTTTGGCCAAATTTTCTTCCTATACTTCAAGAAAAGCAAAATATCGTAAGACATAATCCACAAGCAGATGAGGGAACCCAGCTGTCTTCTATGCCAGACTCTGCAATATTATTCTTCTTATCAAATTTCCTTGTTTTTCATTTTTAAAAAATCACTCATATTTACATGAGTTTATAATACCATTTTCAGTGAATATTTAAGAATTTCTAATATTAGAAATTAAATAATAATTATATAATTAAATAATAATATATAAACTGAACCCCAAACAAGCAGAAGATAGGAAGTACGGAAGAGCAAAATTCAGCAACTTTTTTTTGAGACAGAGTCTCACTCTGGCGCCTGGGTAGAGAGTACTACAGTGTCACGGATCACAGTAACCTCAAACTCTTGGGCTCAGGGATCCTCCTGTCTTAGCCTCTCAAGTAAGCCTGCCATGCCTGGGTAGTTTTTCTACTTTTAGTAGAGACAGGGTCTCACTCTTGCTCAGGCTTATCTTGAACTCCTGAGCTCAGGTTGGGTCAAATAATACTACATATGTAACTCTATAAAAATAAATGTTCTTTGGTGGGGGGGTCCTCAAATTTTTTTTTAGAGTATAAGTGGTTACCAAGACCAAAACACCGAGGACTTTTTGTTCTAGAAACTCTGTGATTTAAACACAGCACGTTTTGCTTTTTTACTAATTTATTTATTTACTTGATAATGTTTAGATGTGTTATTTTAGTATATTGTTAGGACAGGCACTTTATTTGAAGATTTTAAATTATATTAATTTCTTTAACAGATAGAATACTATTTGGTTTATCTGCTTCTTCTGGAGTTAACTTGGTAGTCTGTGTCTTTCAAAGAATTCGCCCATTTCATCTTAGTTGTTAAATTTACAAGCACAAAGTTATTCACAATATTGTCCTGTTATCCTCTGGTTATCAATAGTAGTGCTGGAGGGGGCTGAGGGTGGTGGCTCACGCCTGTATTCTCAGCATTCTGGGAGGCCAAGAAAGGTGGACTGTCTGACCTCACAAGACCAAGACCAGCCTGACAAGAGTGAGACCCCATCTCTAAAAACAGCTAAGCATTGTGGTAGGCACCTGTAGTATGTAGTCTCAGCTACTCAGGAGGCTGAGGCCAGAGAATAGCTTGAGCCCCAGAGTTTCGGGTTGCTGTGAGCTGTGACAACAGGGTACTATACCAAGGACAACACAGGAAGTCCCTGTCTCAAAAAAAAAAAGGTAAAAAGAGATGGAATGAATTTTAATAACAGACATTTCAAATACATATCATGTACTCAACATGTACTCAATATAAAAGTTTGCTAGGTATTTTGCATTTTTTTTCCAGACCATCTTCAAAATCTGGTTGCATTTTTCAGTTATGGCACATCTCAATCGGGTCTAGCCACATCTCAGGGGCTACAGAACCAGGTGTATCCAGTAGCTTCACTGGACAGCATGAGACTGTACAGCAATGACCCCTTTCATTCCTTATGTTAGTAATTTGTCTTCTTTTTCTTGATCAATCAGGTAGAAACTTAGGAATTTTACTGGTCTTTTCAAAGAACCAGCTTTTGGTGTCATCGACCTTCTCTAGTTTTTCTGTTATAAACTTTACTGAAGGCCAGGGTTGGGGGCAGCTCACACTTGTAATCCCAGCACTCCAGGAGGCTGAGGCAGACTGATCACCTGAGCTCAGGAGTTCAAGAGGAACCTAAGCAAGAGGGAGACCCTGTCTCTACTTCAGAGGCTAAGACAGGAGGATTTCCTGAGCCCAAGAGTTTGAGGATGCTGTAAGCTTTGGCACCACAGCACTCTCTACCCAGGCACCAGAGCAAGATTGTCTGGAAAAAATGTTGCAGAATTTTGCTCTTTAATATTTCCCGTCTTCTCTTGCTTGGGGTTTAAATTTTCTTTTCTAGTTTGCTATACCAGAATCTTAGGTCATATATTTAAAACCTTTTTTAAACATAAGCATTTAATGGCATAAAATTCCCTCAAAGCACTGCTTTAGTTAGCTAGATTCTACAAATCCAGCATGACTTTAACTAAAATTCTTAACGAAAAAAACAGAAAATATTGACAGGGTGGATCATCACATGCACAAAGTCAAATTCATACCAACTGAATTTTCATCATCTTCTAGGATGTGACTCCGCTGTCTGGGACGACCTGAAGCCATCATGAGGTCGTCATCATCCTCGTCGTCATTTATAATCCTCCTGGAGAAAGAGGGGATCTCAACTGCATTGTCATTTAGAAAATCACCAGCATTACTTGTATCATCTCCATCAAAAAGATCATTGTAATCCTTTTCCTCTCTGCTTGATACCTTGAAAAAAATTAATACAAATGTGAAAGTATTAGTGAACTATTTAGAACAACTCACTACTGAAAAGGCAGTCTCTGAATGTGTGCCTGTAAACACTGCCGGCTGAGCAGGCGCCCTGAGCGGTGATGGTTAGTAAGTGCGTTTAAGAAGACTGAGTTATACTTTGATATTAGGACTTGGTCTTTATTTCAAATGACTTCTAGTCTGGGGATGGGGCTCGGGTGCAGGGACAGACATGTGAACACATACTGTATGTACCAAAGTAAAAGGCAAGCTTTTATTCCTCCCAAGTCATTCCTCAGAAGTCACAGTACATGATCAAGAACATACAAAGTCTCTCACGGTGTAAGACATGCTCTCATTTTCTTTTATTTTGAACAAAATGTGATACATTTGCTTTAAATCGTCTCAAAGTGAGGTTTTTTACGCTTAAGATGGAACCAACCAAAAAAAGCAGCACAGAAACTCAACATGGATTTACTCATTGCTTCCTAGGGATATGAACCTACCAGGCAGGAGTTGGGTCACTGCAAACAAACTTTTAAATCACTTTAAAAAGTGAAATCAGGCTGAAGGCAGTAGTGCAGGCCTATTGCCCCAGCCCTTTAGAAGGTCAAGGCAGGGGGGTTCCTTGAGACCAGGAATTGAAGACCCCAGGAAACACAGTGAGAGGCCCACTCTACCAAAAACTTTCAAAGCAGCTGGATGTGGCGGCATGTGCCTGCAGTCCTAGCTACTCAAGAGGCTGTGCTGGAGAGGAATGGTCGAGCCTAGCAGTTCAAGTAATACAATAGTAGTTACAATTGTGCCAATGCACTCCAGCCTGGGTGACAAAGTGAGACCTTATCTATAAAAATAAATCCATAAACAAAATAAAAATTAAGCAGGTACATTGCAGAGTACACAAATTAATCCTACAGGATGAACGAAAACGGAACAAATCTTAAGCTACTGAGAAACTCAAGAGTTTGGTATAATATTCTTTTTGTTTTGTTTTGTTTTTTGAGACAGAGTCTTACTTTATTGTCTTTAATAGAGTGCCGTGGTGTCACTGCTTACAGCAACCTCAAACTCGTGGACTCAAGTGATCCTCATTTCCGCTGCCCAAGTAGCTGGGACTATAGGCACCTGACACATGCCCAGCTATTTTAGAGACGGGGTCTTGCTCTTCATCAGGCTGGTTTTGAACTCCTAAGCTCAAGCAATCCACCCAGCCTCCCAGAGTGCTAGGATTCCAGGTATACATCACTGCATCTAGCCCTTGGCATAATATTCTAATGAGAATAACATTAGTGGACTTAAAAAGACTATGTCACAAATCTTTTTATTTCTTTCTTTTTACTCATAGAATTTTAAATTTTTTGGTAGAGAGGGGCTCTCCCTATGTTGCCCAGACTGGTCAACTCCTGGCCTGCCCCAGATAATCCTTCTGCCTCACTCTCCCAAGTGCTGGGGTTATAGATGTGAGCCTCTGCACCAGATGGAAGTAAACATCATTCTGCTCTGAAAAACTGACATCAATAAAATGAGAGACAACTTAAAGAGTACCTCTACATTCATACATTTAAACATGATTTGATATGTATAATTAAATTAATAAGTAAATGCTAGAAGAACTAAATCTATATTCCTAAAAGTTTATGTACTCAAGTTATTAAAAACTTTTTGGAATTTTTTCATAGGAAAATTTAACTTTTGCTTTATATTCATGGTGCGGGCCATAAAAGGTTAACAGTTGTGAAAATGTACTATGAAGAGTGAAAGGAAAAAGGAAGAGAGTGGTCTCTTCTAGACAAATGGGTTAAAGATTTTCTAAGAGGTGACAACCTTTCAACACAGCTCCCAACTTACATCTCCGCAGGGGAAATCTTTCCAGCTCTTTTAGTTGTTTCTTTGATACTTTCCTTCATACTTGTAAACAATATTCTAGCACTATTTCTTCTTTAGTTTTCACTTTTAATCATTATCTGTTTGATAGATCCTATTATAGATAGATAGAGATCTATAGATTCCTATAGATCTCTATCTATAGATTCCTATAGATCCTATTATATATCCTATCCTATTATAGATAGATAGATCTGTAGGAAATAAATGTGACAGTTATTTCATGAAGGGATATCCCTTATATATATATATAAGGGATATTTCTTAGTAAAATATGTTTAAGAAACATTAAACAAATTAAAACACATTTATTTCCTACAGATTATCTATCCCATTTATAGATTTATCTATCCCAGTACAGATTCCTATAGATCCTATAAGATCCTATCCTATTATAGATAGATAGATAGATCTTTCTATCTATAGATTCCTATAGATCCTGTCTATGGAAGCTGAGAACCAGGTGCCCTTTCACAGCTGCTCACATCCCCATGCGTGCACACTTGCTATCATCCCCCAGTCCTTGCAATATGGACATCCTCACTTTGGTTCCAGCAATATACATCACTTAGGCTATTAGGATCATGTGAATGCTATTCACAGCTGAATACAGATTATAGCCGATACTTACTAAGTGTTGTTTTAATCATACGTAATGCACTTAATCCTCACAATAACACTAAGCTGTTGGCACTACTTCTTGATACAAGTAGTTGATACAAGTCTCAAGCTGTCAGCCTGGGTAGAGTGCTCTGGCCTCATAGCTCATAGCAGCTTCCAACTCTTGCCTCAGTTTTTCTATTTTTAGTAGAGATGGGGTCTTGCTCTTGCTCAGGCTCATCTGAAACACATGCACTCCAGCAATCCACCCACCTTAGCCTCCCAGAGTACTAGGATTACAGGCATGAGCCACCGTGCCCGGCCGTTGGCACTATTTCCATCTTCACTTCACACAGTATGTTATGATCACTTTTCTTCTCTTTTAAAACGTTTTGTTTTCCCTGGAGCTAAGAATCTCTTTCTTTAGATCTTTTCTTTTGGATAGATTCCCCAAAGATGATTCCTCCAATATCCTGAATAAAAGTGTAAGACTGACAATGTTATGGGAGCCAAGTAAATGCAAGTTGGGAATTTCAACACCCAAGAATGGGCACTTTAATTCAATCCCATTTTCAGTACAGTATGCCCCTTACCCAACTCCATTCAATTGTACCTAGTATCCCTTGTCCAAGGAAAGTCTTTGTTGTGCTTTTGCTAGAAAACAAATCTCCAACATTCTGCCAAATGTTATGTGTGGAGGGGGTAAGGCTGTCACCTTGCTGTGCACACTCATGTTGAGTCTTGAGGGATCTCTCTTAAATCGACCCCCCATTTTCAGCCCACTTTTAGAAGTACCCAGTGCTGCCAAGTTCCCTATCTTTGGAGATTCAGTCAGGTAAACTGAGTAGATCCTAACATCCCCCCAACCTGCCACAGGCTTAGACTTCACTTTTTGAGACGCCAAAGTTAGTTTCTTTTTTTTTTTTTTTTGAGACGGAGCCTCAAGCTATCCCCCCGGGTAGAGTGCCATGGCATCACGCTCACAGCAACCTCCAATTCCTGGGGTCAAGCGAGTCTCCTTCCTCAGCCTCCCAAGTAGCTGGGACTACAGGCGCCTGCCACAACGCCCAGCTATTTTTTGGTTGCAGCTGTCATTGTTGTTTGGCGGCCCAGGCTGGATTGGAACCCACCATCTTAGGTGTATGTGGCTGGCGCCTTAGCCACTTGAGCCACAGGCGCTGAGCCAGCTTGGTCATTCTTATATGGCATCACTACGTCAACATCACTCATTATCATACCCTGTCTTGGGTCCAAGTTGCTGGTCTTTATGCCCCTTTCTCACTCTATCACTATATGTCAGGTACCCTGGATGTGACATGGTGGTCCTCTGCTCTGAGGCAGATCCTGAATATCTGGAATCTGGATACAACCTATTGAATGAACAGCAAATTCTTTATTATAGGGGATTCTGGACAGAAACTCCCTTCCTATTACTGTTTACCTCTTATGATACCTGAATACACTTTTTCATATATGTTTGGATAGCTCTTCAGGGTTTCTTGAGGGTATTTTACTAAGGGCAAACTTAGTAGGACCCAATGATGGGTTCAAAATAAACTCATGCCCCTATCATAATTCTCAATTTTAACGTCTATTTGCCTCTCCTTTTCTCACTGTCTACTCCATATCTTTTTTGTCTCTGGTTGTCTTGGTGACTTAGCTGGGGTATGATCCAAAATATGCA